AGTCGGGGATATTTATGCCAAAGTTGGGATGTTGTGAACATCATACTGAAGTTGTAGCTAGGGATGAAGCTAGAAAGGGTAAAATTCGTTGGTACAAGTAAAGATATTTGTGGTTGCTTCTTTAGAATTACACATGGGTTAACTTGTGCATGTCAACTTGCTAGTTTCTAGATACAAGACTTGCACGCTCCTTTAGAAACAATTTATGTTTTTTGGAAGAAATTACACATTCAAGAGCATGCTAGCATTCATGACGATAGTGGCGCAAAGCTAGATTTAGAAGCAGAGCGTGAAGAGTTGAATACATATTTCAATTATTTGGATATTATATGCCAAAGGGTGTTGAATAAAAAGGTCTGGGAATTAACACATCCATCCACAACTTCTATGTGTCCACCGCCAATGAAGTACAAGCCAAAGAGGGGAGTTAAGAAGAGCAGAAAAGGTGAAGAGAGTGATGTGCATCATGATCCCTCATAGTGGGAGTATGGTGAGGGCTCGCAGGGGAGTCATACTACACAAAGATCATGCACGAAACTAATAGGAATGCAACCTTCAAGTATGTCAGGTCAAAGTCAACTGATCATTGCATTTTCCAGACATCTTTACTTATCTCAGTTTCCTGGTTTCTTGAATCCATACATTGATGACATTGCTGATGTGGGGGACAATGGAAATTGTGGTTTTTGGGTTATTACAACTTTACTTGGATGGGGTGAAGAGTCATGGTCGTTGTTCTAGACACAGTTAGATACTCAAGTTCATTAACATCCAAAATTGCTTTCCAATTTGTTCTATGACACGGTCGCTGAAGTTAGGAATTCCTTAAAAGTAGAACACTTGAGTGTGCAGGGTCAAGAAAAATGGATGACGATTCCTGATATGGGTTACCTTATTGCATGTAGGTACAATGTCGTATTTGTCTTCCTGTCACAGAGACTGAATATTACCTTTTCCCCTCTTACCATAGCTCCACCTATGTATACAAGCAGGCCTAAAATCATTGTTGTTGGTTTTGTCAATGACAATTATTGGGTTCAGGTAAAGTTGAAACCTGATAGTCCATTGCCTCCTGTCATTAATCGTTGGAAACAGAACTGTACTGAAGATGCAAAAGCATGAGAATCAGCATGTGTAGGACATATTAGGCACTGGGAGGATGAATTTAGGAAGTCATCCTAATTTGGTATGTAATCTTGTGTACAATGTGTATTTATTATATGTGAAACCATTTATGCAGGCCGATGCGTAAAAAATATTTAACATACTTATTTTTTGGAAATTCAGGATGCATATCGGAAATTTTGAATTTCTCAAAATTTTCGGAAGTTTTGGCTAGTTTACGTAAAATTTATATTTTCCGGTATAACTTCATTGAAAATTTTGAAATGTCCGGTATTGTCTCACATGAACGGTATACCACAGTAAAGTTTTTGAAATTTCCGGTATTATGGCGAAATTTTCGATATACCATGTTAATTTCATAATTTCCGGAAAATAATTTCGCTAAAATGGGGGGGGGGGGGGGGGGGTGAGTACCAGGTATAAGTGGGAGGGGTGTCAAGTTAAATCCTCTTCTAAATAGTCCCCACGTATTTTCATAATTTCCAAATTATTCATGAAGAATTTTGAGTAAAAAATTCGAATGAAACTAGGTGAGTACCAGGTATAAGTGGGAGGGGTGTCAAGTTAAATCCTCTTCTAAATAGTTACCCACATATTTTCATAATTTCCAAATTATTCATGAAGAATTTTGAGTAAAAAATTCGAATTCACCTCCACCATAAACAAACTCCGCCCACAAAAAACTCTATCTCATATCATACTCTCTAGCAACCTCACTCTTGAACTGCACACAAACTACACATCTTCAATTTCATTTCAATTCCATCCATCTTCAACACTCTCTTTTCCGACAACCTTCAGACAACATAAAAATCTTCATTACATTCAACAACAACCTATAAAAATAAACCACCACAACCCAACATCACCATTAAACAACAATTAACAATCAAGCCATAAGCAAGTCATGGAAAGAGGAAAAGTAGGCGAGAACAAATCTGCCAGAAAACATGAACCACTCGCTGACACCTCAAAACCTCCCCGGATTCGCCACCGGCCACTAATTACAACATCACCACCATTTGATACCCAACCTTCTTCATTTTGAATAGCACAACACCACGCACCATCACCGGCTTCCCATGAACACAGAATCATCACAATATAACTTTTCTTCATTTTTCCCTTTGATTTGCGATTGTGATTTAATATTTGATCTCGTTGTAATAAATGAATAAATGTTATTGTTTTTTATTGCTTCGGTTTTTGTTTGATAAAAGGATGGAGTTTGGAGATGTTGTTTTTTATTGCCCCTGTTCGGCCAACCGCCCCTTGTGCTTAACAAGATCGTGAGAGAGATAGCAGAGCAAGTTATTTCTCTATTTCTATTTTTGAACACGAGAGAGAGAGAGAGAGAGAGAGAGAGAGAGAGAGAGATATTCCATGTTGTTGTGTTGTGTTAGTGTTATGTTCTCCTTTTGTTATATATTTTTTTTAATAAAAGCATTACCACGTGTCAAAAGTGGAGTGAGGGACTTTTGAAAATTGAAAAAATTGTGTTCTCTCTCTTTTTCATGAGTGTACCTCCCCCCATGCAGGATGGCATCAACATTTTTTTTTCTTTCTTTTCCTTTTTAAATTTATTTCTTAATTAAGTTATTATTTTAGTTATGTTTAGGTTAATTTTAGGCTAGGCCTTGCAAATTGCTTTGTAACCATCCCCATATTCAACCTACACCCTCTTAGTTTCATTTTATTTATTTATTTTTGTTTAGTTTATAGTCTAATTAGGTTAATTATTTAATTAGGGAAATTAAGCTATGAAATTATACAATAGTCTAGAGTTCTCTAGTTAAATTGGTGATCACAATCATTTGTAAATATTTTATGTTCATGTACATAAGTTAATCGTCAGTTCAAACACCTTTTCTAATCATTTTAAAAATAAATACGAATAAACACTTGATTTAAAGTCGAGTATCTCTTCCGCTTAATCCAATTTTTTTTTGTAAATCAACTTGAAACGCTTGATCCAACGCCAAGTCATTCTACACGCGAAATTCTTTTCTCAATAAAATCAAAAGACAAAGTGACAATTGGCGCACGTCTTTTGAATTCCTTGGTCATTCACCTTTAAATACTTTAAGTAAAATAGGATAACAAGTGACAATTGGTGCACGTCTTTTGAACATCTTTGATAAACGAGCGCTTGGTGCACGCCTATGCTCAAACGTTTACTAAAATTCCGCAAAGATTACATTTTCATAAAAGTAGACGACAAAAGACCGAGAGATGCACATCTCTTTAAAAGTCTTGAGAAAACGACGCTCGATGCACACCTTCCTCCAACGGTTACCCTAATTCATATAAACTCAACTCAACTAATCAAACTTCCTTTTCGCATGTGTGCAACTTGAAAACCTTTTTCAAAAACGAGTATCTTTTATCCATTTCGACGCGAAACAAACAAAGACTTCATCCTCCAAGAGTGAGCAGCAGGTAAGGTTTAACCGCTCAAATGCGATCTAATCATCACTCTCAAAAAGAAATCAACCAACATGTGATTTTCTATTTAAAACTACACGGTCTTGAGTTTCTCATTGTAGTAAAGGATATGTAGGAGCGAGATCCAACATCTCGTCAGACCCAATAAACAAAAAAAATATTTTCTTTTTCTCGCTCAATAAATAGAAGATCGCAAGTAAATATCAGGCTAACACTCATTTGCATGGCTAGCTAAATGGGTATCATTGAGTACAACGGATGTGAGGAGTGCTAATACATTCCTCTTACATAGCCGACTTTTGAACCCACTCTTAGTTGCGACGACTAATTTCTTAGCTTTCGTGTATTTTATCAATATTATTTCATTTCTTTAAAACAAATAAAAATCGATGGCGACTCTATTATTATTTCAAATGTGTGATACACTCCGAATGCTTTTCGCATCACGACAGTTACGAAGAAACTTGAATACTACTCCCTGAATCTTATGAAATTTCCTATAACTTCAATGGTCATAGTGACCATGAAAGCTGGAATTTTTGGTTGGATAAAATGAACCTTGACATTTCATTAAACTCTTGTGTTTAAATTATGTTGTGTTTGCAAGTCACAAAAAAAATTAAAGGCGGGCGTAATCAAATAGAGGGAATGACTTGCTCATCTTTATTAAAAATGAAAACTTGGCTTTATAAATTATCTTTGTAACTGAAAAGAAAAAAATATACAAATGCACTAAACTGCGGCAACACAAGACTAAATTAAACTAGAACCCCTTAAAATTAAATAAAAATCTTACAGAAAATCCTAATTGTAATCAATATACTATGATTAACATATAGTTTAAATTATTATAAGTCATTTGAATTATAGTAATGATTAATTCAAATTTTCTTTTCTTTTTCTCAAAACAATTTTTTAAATGCAATTTTAAAAAAAAAAATCATTTGTTCAAATTAATATCTCAAAATCAACTATTTTATTATCAGATTTTGTATAATCAATACCAATATTAGTTTCAAAAAATTAATAAATTTTAATATTTACACATGCAACATGTTGCATGAGTATCTAGTTTAATTTATTACAACTCATTTGAATTATATGAGTTTCTATGCACACAAAAAAATATATAAATAAATAAAATTTATTTACTTATTTCACTATTAATTAATATAGTTATACTTCATTTTTGTGATTCACATGCATGGTTTCACAGCCACAGTATATAAATGAGAAATAAATCACCTCTAGCTTATGATACTTTCTTCTTTTTTCATCAACCTTCACAAGAAAACTGCTTAAACTCAATCTACCCTTTCTTATCAATTAATTTCCTCCATCCACCTATCCATCACCATTTCATGCAATTCATATAAATTCATCCTCTTGTATATATTTTCTAACAACCCATTTCAATTTTCAACCTTTATATGAAAACTTCCATGGCAAGCAACATAGCAGAAAGGGTGCAATATCCATTAGACTCTTCCTCCTACAAGATCATAGACGAGATTGGCGCCGGTAACAGCGCTGTCGTCTACAAAGCAATCTGCATCCCTATAAATTCCACACCAGTTGCTATAAAATCCATAGACTTAGATCGTTCACGCCCTGACCTTGACGATGTTCGACGTGAAGCGAAGACATTATCGCTTCTTTCTCATCCCAACATCCTCAAAGCTCACTGTTCCTTCACGGTGGACCGCCGCCTTTGGGTGGTTATGCCTTTTATGGCAGGAGGTTCATTACAGTCCATAATCTCGCACTCTTTCCAAAACGGCTTAACCGAGCAATCCATAGCAGTTATTCTCAAAGACACTCTCAATGCTCTTTCTTACCTTCATGGACAAGGTCACCTTCATAGAGATATCAAATCTGGTAACATCCTTGTTGACTCAAATGGATTAGTGAAACTGGCTGATTTTGGTGTTTCTGCTTCCATTTATGAATCAAACAACTCTGTAGGAGTATGTGCTTCTTATTCATCTTCATCTTCTAATTCTTCTTCTTCTCTTATGTTTACTGATTTTGCTGGAACACCTTATTGGATGGCTCCTGAGGTTATTCATTCTCATAATGGTTACAGTTTCAAAGCTGATATTTGGTCTTTTGGGATAACTGCTTTGGAGCTAGCACATGGAAGACCACCACTTTCTCATCTTCCGCCTTCTAAGTCAATGATGCTTAACATTACCAAGAGGTTTAGGTTTTCTGATTTTGATAAATATATTTATAAGGGTCATAGTGGTGGAAGCAATAAATTTTCTAAGGCTTTTAAGGATATGGTTGCTTCTTGTTTGAATCAAGATCCTACAAAAAGACCTTCAGCTGAGAAGTTGCTTAAGCATTCGTTCTTTAAAAACTGTAAGGGACCAGAGTTTTTGGTGAAGAATGTGTTGAATGGTTTGCCTAGTGTGGAGAAAAGGTATAAAGAGATCAAAGTTACAATGGGTGCAGACTCAAAGGGCAGTGATGATGGTGATGATGAGGACTCAGTGGTGAATGTGAAGCAGAGAAGAATTAGTGGTTGGAATTTCAATGAAGATGGGTTGAAACTTGAGCCGGTATTCCCAAAGGATCAGTGCAGAGAAGATCATGATGTGGTGAAACAAGTTCGGTTTGAAGAAGAAAATGCAATCCAAGAGGAGGAAGATGTTGCATCATCAGGAACTGTGACTGAAACAACAAACCTCAATGCTTCTGATGAGGTTGATATCGATGCTGTTAGTGGTGTTGTGAAGAACCGTGAAGCTACGTTGGCGACTCTGAGTGTGTTGAAAGGGAGCTTGGAACAAGAACTGGGACAGGTGAAGTTTCTGATGAGCCTAATTGGTGGAAATGGAGAGGAGAATCATGTGGCCGATAGCGAGGAGAAAACGGTGCAGGAGATATCTAAGTTGAGGATGGAGTTAGAAACTGAGAGGAAGAAGAATTTGCAGTTGGAGCTGCAGCTTGAGAATATCAAGCTTCACCTAATTTCTTCTACTGTCAATAGTCCTACAAGCTAATATATGTTTCTATAATGTCACTGAATAAATCCATATATGTTTGTGATGTTTTGTATGTGCAGTGTAATCTATGTAACAGTTGCAAAGAATCTAAACTCGTGTTAGAGTTTAGACCCTTTATACGGTCACAGATTGCAAAGAATCTAAGCTCGTGTCAACGGATTGCAAAATATTCGTTGTATTTAGATCCAACGAACCTGTAATCCGTTGCAACACAACTGCATCGGATTTGAATCCAATGTAAGCTCGTAATTTTCATGTACAAAGTTGTATCGGCGTTGTTATAGTATGGCAAACAGATATTGAAATAACAATTGTTCCAGCCTCAAAAAAACTCAAATCAGTAACAGCAATAGGAAAGAACTCTATGCCTTACAAAAAAAACACATGCACACCAGTGATCCTTGTGTGCAAAAAAATTACTACTCTGAAATTTGGACACTACTATAAGTCTAAAACACTAGCAAAAAGTTTCTGCAATCTATTCTAATAATAACTTAAAAAAAAATAATAATAAACAAAGCTGCTGCACCTTTCCAATCTCTAGACTCATCTGCTTCTCCTTTTATTACAGCCTTGTCTTTCTTATTCACAATACCGTTTCATCATAACTGCATATTTTAGTAAAATATCACAATATCAGATAACATATAATATCATAACAATAAAAGACATTTATAGTAATGATCTAAGAATTAAATGAAGTATAGTAATGATATGTAGCAGAGAAATTAATGACAAAACATGGCTTCATGCATGAGATACACAATCAATGCAATGCATTATAGGATCATCAAGTGATTCATCCAAAGAAACATGAACCAATGAAGATCATGAACCAATGATATACAAATAATTATCCACCTGGTGTCTAGGATCATTAGTACTTCTGACGATATCCGACGAATTCATTTCATTGATTAGGTCAAAACTGGGTTTCTGATCATCATTTAAACGATCATCACCAACCCGTTCTTGATCTACCTCATCGTCCTCCTTCTTGTTATCCTGCAAGGATAACAGCGACAACGGTATAGAATTCACCCACGTATCAAGATCCTGATCTTGTAAAGGAACATAATTAGGGTTGACACCGACGACATCATCAACAACATACTGCGGTTGCATTTGCGGTTGCGGTTGAAACATACCAATACCATCCAACTGTTCTTCAACAAAATGCTGCGGCGGCGGCGGCGGCAGCTGTTGCTGATGTAGATAATTAGGAGGAATAATAATAGCTTCATTGTCGTGATTATCGTGATTATTATTATTATTATCGTCGGGCACGACAATATCATTATAATGATGATGATGATTGGAAGAAGAAGAAGCTGCAGCAGCTCTACAAATAGCAATCTGTTGAAGAGCGAAATGAAGCTGAGCGGAATAAAAATCGATCTGCGATTGAAGATTCTGAATATGTCTATAACAACCACCAACAGGATCCAAAGCACGCATATCAGACTGATAAATAATAGTAGACATGGTTAGGTCTCTGGCCTCAGGAGGAACAGTCTTAAGCAGGTTGGTGATTTTACCGACACCGAATAATTTATGGGCGTTGAGAAACTGTTTTTGACGTTCGTGAGGAAAATATGGTGCGAGAATACAGCTTGGACCGCACTTCCTACGTTGGTATTTACAAGCAGAACAAGCCTGTGGGATTCCTCCGTTGCCGTTTCTTGTAATGTTGATGTTCATGCTTCATAATCTTTTTGCGTCTCCGCTGCCGATGCACCTGCAACTTTTATTCTATTTCAATCTCAATCTCTTTTAACTATTTTTTTTTATTTAATTATAATAATAATGATTCATAGGAGAGAGACACTAACTTAACAGAATCTGTTTTGTTCAACGCTATTTTTGGATCCAATAGAACAATGCCACGTTCTCATATACATTAATTAAATTAACTAATTGAATAATTAATTTGGCTAACTCTAATTATTCAGTCTAGTTGTTTGGTTTAGGTATCATCTTGTAACCCTAAATTTACCCTAAAAATATTAATTTGGCTTGGATAATCTACATCGCTATTAAAACAGATAATTAAACTGTAAATATTTTAATTTATGATTGGACAATTTTGTCCTTCACATTTTTTTAGCTATTTTTACTCATTATATTTAAAATATTAAAAACTACTCTATATGTATAGGAATTGATGAATACCTGAAGCTTCTTTCGCCTTTGCTCAACACTTTCTCTAACAAGCAGCTAGATAAAAATTTCTGCAAAATATACAATAAAGAGAAAACATTGAAAGAAACGATTTTGTGAAGGGTTCGGAATGTTGAAAGAAAATCAAGACTGAATCGCACAACATGTAATGGATCATTCAAGAAATTAATTGATCACAAGATGAATAACAATTCCAGTGAGTGAGAAAGAAAGAAGGAAATGAAGGTTGGGGATGGTTACGAACGTGTTTTGAAGTGCGTATGTTGGATGATGATGGGTATGTTCTGGTAATTTCGTTTCCAAATTGCAGAGTTCTCTTCTTTCAAAATTGAAGCGGAAACTAGTAATAGCATTTTGGCGGGTTCGGGGTTAGAACTTAGAAGCTGGTTTATATATGATGGCTGTGTAAATGTTGCTAATGGTAGTTTTTCACCTTTTTATTTTAAATTTTAATTTTAATGGTGCATTTAGACAAGATGATTGGAGATTACCAGAGGGTTTAATATTTTATAAAAAAAATGTTTCATTTGAGTTTTATTAATTTTTTTTAATAAAGTATTAAAATAGTTTAGATATTTTTATAAATTAAAAAAATAGTATAATTTAAAATTTTAAAAATATGAACCAATTTAGTAGCTTAAAAATTTCACATCTCGCTCCTAAAATGATATTGTTTATTTCACAACTCAGTGACTAATTCAAAAGTGAACTTTCAAAATTGTCAAGCAGGAAACCTAATAAAAACATCATTTTACATGTATGATTCACTTATGATCATACCATGTTTTTTTTTCAAACCCTACCAAAATCTCCTTCCAAATTCAATCGAGTTTTCTACTTCAGAACAACATTCCTCCCTTATTTCACATCAAAGAAATATAAGAAGTTGGAATTTAAAGTAATGTACATGTATTCCCTTCCTCATTACTAGTTAAATTTAACAGGGATAATCCAGAAATACATCTCTGAAATATCCTCTGAAACAAACTTGAGTTTTTAAGGTCCATATAATCTAAAACTTGTATAAATATGGTGTCACTCATGTCGTAAGCAAAATCACACACATAACGTCTCAATATTCATATCTCTTTTGTCTACTTCAAAGCCAAAAAGGTCTCCTCTTGAATTTAGGTTGACGTAGAGCATGCATCTTGTCGATCTAAAATCCACACTAGAGAATTTGTTGCAATACCCAGACAATCAAAGAGTTGTGAAGCTCTATTGTCGTTCATTCTCGATTAACAACTAATTGAAGATACAATTCAACAAGTTTGAGAGGAAGATTTGACTTTATGTGGAGTACATTCAGTGTTACAAAACAAAATGTCTAATCGAGGTGGATGCAAAGGTTACAAGATCAACCAAATATATTCTAAAGATGTTGAAATGTCCTCAACCATTACTTGATAATGAAATATAATGTTAGATATATGTTAATGATTATATATGTAATTTTACATTTTTATTTATTACATAAAAAAAGATTAATGTTAATTTATGTTGTTCTTTCTATTATGCATTTGTTTCGCATTTCTCAAACACAACAATATTCAAAAATAAAGTTATAAATTTGTTTTAAAGTTTTGATCCATCCGAAAATGCATTTTCCTATCTTAAAGGAATTTATGGTATTTCAATGGATGTGTGAGCACCGCCAAATATGCAATAAACAATGCTCATATTTTTACATAGAATTTCTTATTGTACCTTTGATGTTTTTAATGTACCATGTGAATTTTCACATATGCCCCCTGATTTCGGAGATACATCTTCGGACACACCCCAACACACACTCATCAAAGGCCATTCTGAGTTAAATTCTTTCTTTTGGTTTAATTTTTTCCGAAGATGTGTTCGAAATAATTCAGTGTTCAATATAGATCTAGAGAGTTTGGTTAAACTCTACACAAGCATTGTTATGTTTGTTCCCCTAGATTCTTGACCATAGTCAAGTACTTTTTAATCCTCGGTGAGGTGAACTACGGTTGCTCTGATTCTATCCTAGTTGGGATACGTAGGCAGAGGATGTGATATCTTTGCGAGCAAACTTAGAAACTATCCTTAGGTCTTTACATAACCTTAACCCAAATCCCAAAACCATAGCAAACCTTTAGCAAGCATAGCATACAAACAAACAAAAGGTTCATGTAGAGTACTACAGATGTTTAGGATGTGAAATACCTACCCTAAGCATAATCAACCCTGATCCCCGAATCTCTTAGAGTTGTTGTTACATCGCGCAAAAGGTTTTCTTTCTTTAACCTTCCCTTTGGATAAACTAAAGTCTGGTTGTGAATTTTAAGAATTAAGATTCAAGTTAATCAATAGCTTGGTATCACGATTCTCACCGCAACACCCTTCCCTTTGGGATAAATAAATTTTGATCGCGACTCGGTGATTTTTTCGCTTATCGACACTAATCTTCAGAGACTTTTGAATAAATGTTATTGAAGCATGTTTAGAAGGATCAAAACTGAGTAGAGGTTCTTCAGAACCTCGTCTTCAGTGTCTTCAGAACCTTATGCTCAGAGCCTTCAAAACTCGAGAGCGCAGAATCTTGAGAGCTTGATAAACCTTTAGAGGCTTTTCTATCAGAGGTACAGTCAGAAGCTTTAGCATAAACATTCATCAGAACCATTGTTGAAGTGTGTTCCAGAACTTGACATAATCTTATAAAGCACACTTTTGTATCTTTTCAGAGTCAAAGTGTGTTGAGTCTAGAATATGATGACGTCACACGACAAATCCTTAGAATTAGAACCTGTTAGCAAAAGTTACACTCTAGAGAAAACTATTAGGGTACAAAATTATTCTTTAAGAAATAATGTATTGTTATCATTAAAACTAAAGACCAGATGCAAAACCAAATCTTGTTCTTACAATCTCTCCCTTTTTGATGATGACAAAATCATGTATTTTGATGAACAATTTTTACTTGATTAAATCATATAAAAACATCATAGTGAGGTTTGTAATCTCCCCATGAATTTTATACTATTAAAATTGTTTTCCAGCTTAGAATTTCAAAGTTAGGTTTGCAAGCTCCCCCTAAATTTAAAACTTTAAAATAATCTTAACATATAAAATATCTCAATCAGCACGAAAGAAATAACTTTCCAAATCACAGAAGCCTGGTTACAAAAGTATTTCAAAATTGACTTTGCTTTGAGTATCAGAAGTTTTGGTTATCATCCTTGTATCAAAACTTGATCTATCAGAACTTATATATATTCCTGGTTATCGTGAGAGCTTATATACACCTGGTTATATACTCCTGGTTAACTCATACTCAAAACAACTTGATTAATGTCTTATGAGAAAATCTTTAATTCCTAAAAAACTTGGTTAGCTTAAAACATGATGAACTTATTCAAAGTTCCCAGAATAGTTAATCAAATTCAAAAATAAGATTATTAAAGACAAATGTTTGGGAATCAGAAAGGAATTAGGTATATCAAAATCGTATCACCCTTCTCCTTCTTTGTCATCAATCAAAAAGTAAATAAAGATAGATAAATTAAAACAAAACACAACTTCATTTCATTAAAAATTCATAATCAAAGGTATAAAAGCAAATTGCAGAAATGATATAAAAAAACTAAAGAAAGCAACAAGTTTTAAAATAGGTTTCTAAGAAGAGGGTGGGAATCTTGACAACATTGCTTAAATCATCCATTCAATCCTGATGTTGGTCATAGCCTGTTCCTTTAACATTTCATCTTCCTTGTCAGGCATGATCTAACCACTTGATTCTTAGTCATTACCTCTTGTAGAGTCCTCAACACCAAAGAAGGTTCAGATCTAAAATCTTCATCTTTCACAATATTCTTAGTTCCAGAAAAGGATGCCAAATCTATGTCTGAAGGAGGATGAGGATAGACTTCCATTAAAGATGCAGTTAGAAGAAATGTTGGAGGAACCTCTGAAGCAAAGGTTCATCAATACCATAGAATCTAGCATGGAAGTTCCTTGGAGTATCCTTTAAGCACATGAATTCCAACTCCCTAGATCCGAGGTCAATTTATCTTCTGAAGTTGTTACACAAAGTATGAACTTCATAGAGGTTTGCAGTAGAGAAGGATTTAGAGAAGGTAACTGACAAAGACACCGAGAGAGAACTAAAAGTAGTTAATAATGGAAAGACATCAAAGGCAAAGGAGGTAGTAGAGAAGGAAAATGAACAAACATATGTATCTTCTCCTCCTTATAAGCCACCCATTCCTTACACTCAAAGACTTGCAAAGTCTAAAATCGAGGGACAATTTAAGAATTTTATGGAGCTCCTGGAGACACTCCATATCACTATTCCTTTTTCGGAGGCAATAACCCAAATGCCTTCATATGCTAAATTCCTAAAAGAGATCTTGACCAACAAAATGAAGATCTATATATATGGAACAATGGCACCAATTGAAGAGTGCAACACTATAATCCAAAATAATATGCCGCCCAAATTTAAAGATCAATGGAGCTCCTTAATTCCCCGTGTTATCGGTAAATACGTCATCGACAAAACTTTG